GACACACAATTCACACTACCAACTCACCGTGACACGCGCTTATCGTGAACGGACCGTTTTATCGCGGGGATCGAGTGACGCTAGAGTTACGCCAGGAACAACAGGAGCAATCAAGTGAAAACAAAAAAACAGGCAAAATACGAAAAACTGAAAAAAAAGGTAATAATGATGAAGATGGAGATGAAGACGAAGATGATGAAGACGTTGAAGATGATGACAATGATGATAAAGACGACGACGACGACAAACAAAAGGGGAGAGAGAGGGTACGGAGCGTGTGACGATTCGCGACTCGACCGGATCACAAGTGTGCCAATATAGTAATTTCAGCGTGAATCTCTCCGTACGAGAGGAGGATAGACGACGCAACGAACGGACAGTCCACGGAACGCGACGACCAAGCGGCGAGGAGAGAGAGAGAGTTTTGTATTGGCAGTACCGCTGCGCGTTACGCGTCTCGGTTTCCCTCGGCGCCAGCGCGGAGGGTCGCGAGAGTGTTCGAATAACGATGCGCACAAAGTCATATCTGAGTATCGAGAGACGCCGTTCGCTAGGGCGGTCGGACAGGCCTGGAATTGATAAGAGAAAAAGAGACCGCATTGTAAACACGTGTTGTACGAAGAGTACGAAGGTATCGGGAAGGTAAAATTATTCGCAGCGTGTTTACGCGACCTTTGGACAACGCGTGTTTACGAATGTTTCGCAACCGCCTTGGACGCGACCGGTTAACCTTTGATCTTCGACAGTGCAGTAGATTCGCATCGATGGAGATCGATTTCGATCAGGACCCGTTCGAACGTGTTCATGACTCGCCACGCGGGACCAAGAAAAGGGGAACGAGGCGAACGTATGAAGAGGATGAGATCTTGGGATCTCTGCCATTTTTCCATCGGATCGTGAACCGTGAAGGGATCGACGGATAGAGACGCGGGACACGTCGAGGACAGAAACGGGAGGGATCGGGGGGGAGAACGGGAAACGGAACGCGAGGAAACGTACCGGCGGACATCGGCCGATTGTCGCTGAAATGGATTTAGTCGTCGAACAGTATGGAACCGACACTCGAGATGTCGTCGCGGAGAAGAAGTCCTTCCTAGGCTTGGCGTGATGACGATTATGCTGACCAAACAAGAGAGATCCTACTGACCTGATTCCGACATCATGTTGATTAGTTTCTATTTTTCTGGTTAGACCGGTACCGTGACACGTGTATATATTTTATTTACTGCAGGGGTCTACAGATTATGGAGAGGCGAGAGTAGTTTCGTTCGGTATGGATTTTGTGTTTCTCCCTTCGGCAGGGCTGTAACGTTATTAACCCCTTGGCGTACAGTGATTTCAGGATTACAAGATGCAAGATTTCGAAGCTGATTTAACCCTCTATAGGCTCGTGTAACTTTGAAGTCACAGATCAGTGTACTGGCATTTTGTTGATTTATTTCATTTTGCACTCAATGTGGTGAATGAAATGGTAACCGGTTAACACTAGGTTTAGGATATTGGGATAGAAAAGCTTTGCTTCTCAATATACTTGCGATTTGAGATAATTTAACACATTGCGTACCGGTAACGAGAAATCTCGTTTTTATATAAAGACACTTAGCTATGCAGTTTGGTAATTACCACAGTATTGAAGAAATATAAAATTTCATTTAAAATATATTACACAACAATATGATACCTGCGTTTTTCTATGTATAATGGTACAAGCTGACCTCAGTGAAAATTGCCATCCGCCCAATTCAGTTTTCTGAAAATTTGCCGGTACGCAAGGTGTTAACACTGGGTTTACTGACATTTATTGTCTTCATTCTATTATTCCTAAAAGAATTGATGCTCATTTATTTAGATTATGGAAACTGGAGATTTGATAGTAACTGGGATACATGTCAGTATGATCAATGAAAATCAGCATAAACATTTGCAAAATAATATTTCTAAAATCCAGTATGCCTCAATTTCCGTAAACCTAGTGTTAACTGCAACTTTTACACTTAGGCGTGAAAGTTTGTCACTGTAACTTGAAAGTTACTAAATGTTTGATGAAATTATGGAAGCTATTGAATACATTGTTAATTCCTATTCATATGTGGATATTCATTAACTTTGTACTGCATAGATTTTGTTAGAATCGTGAACAATTCGGCCCATAGAGGGTTAAAGGAATCAATTATTATTATTATTATTATTAACAGGAATCAGTTAATTACCCACTGGTCAAACAAGTATTTTTCTATCAATGTATTCAAATGGAATTTCCTGTAGTAGAATGGAGAATTTTTTTGTATTACAAATTAGTAAAATATTACTTAGTAACGAAAAAGTACGCCAAGGGGTTAACGGAATATTCGCACGTTCATTTCGAACGCGAGGGAACAGACGGTACTTCCGGCGACGGATCGGTAAATCGTTCTCGTCGCGACCGAGTACCGACAGAGTTGTACCGAACACCCATAAAATGGACGTAACTCCGAAACGCGAGTTTCGAACGGGACGTTACTCCATTGTACGTACACACGGTGTGAATAGTTTTTGATTTAGCGTTCATGGTATTTTACTCGTTCTAATGTACTGACCAAAATATTGTTCTATCTACTAATTTTTAATTCAGACACGCTTTCTTTTCGTTTCGTTCTTTTTTTACCCTCTTACAATACGTACACGTATACACACATACAGAACACACATCATACAGACACATATAATACACACATACACATAACACACGCACGAATACCCCTGCTACTTTATTTTTCTACTTTCCGTCTGTGTTGGCTTCTCGCGGTAATCAATTCCGATCGCAGAATAGACGATTGTTCGAAAGAAAAAAACTACAAATGGAGGATGCAGGCAGCAGCAGCAGCAGCATTATGCAGGCCAAAATTGTTTTCTTTTTTTCTTTCTGACCAACAGCGCACCGCTAACTGCAGAATATATGGAAATTCATTGTGAAACTTTATGGAACGAATAAATTTAATTTGAAGGAACCCTCGTTTCTCTCTATCCCCCAACGGGACGGATGGACGGACGAACGGACCACGTGAATGTATATAAATATTTTTTATTTAACAGCAAAATGAAAATTACAAAAGTCTGTTATATATTTATTACTTTAAACTTTGGCGTTAGGTGTGCATAGAATTGACCATTCGGAAATAGGTAACAAGGTTGTTTTCTCGGTTAATTGTCGCGTTTTTTTATAAAAACGGGTAAATTATCGATTAGAAAAATATGCCGGGCCTAATTAACGATATCCGAGAAATAAATTATACGAGAAAATCATTCTTCAGAGACGAGGTTTCGTGCTCGAAAATGAAAATTGTACCGTTCGGACTCGTCTGCGCAGGCCCGGCGGTACGGGTATATTTTAGTTAACAATCTTTTTTTTTTTCCTTTTTTTATACTGTCAACACAGCCTTTCGTTTTCTAAGTATCGTTGAACGGGTTATTACTATAAGTCGACGAGAGACTAGAAACGGAATCAAAACGGAGAGCCTACGTTTTAACATTGAAAATAGGAACTTCACTTATTGGATAACAAGTTTAGAATATAACGCTGAAATTTTTCCTTTTATTAGCTCACAGTTCACCTTTCAGTCTATTCTTCAGATTTCTCAAATGCATGTTTCATCGGCCCATTTCTTTATTTTTATTTTTATTTTTTTTCCCCTCCTGTTTCTTTGTTTTCGTAGAAAAGAATATAGTAGGCTGTTCAACCCTTTGCACTCGACAATGTTTTTTGTTACAAGTATTCATTGTTTTCTGACGGAATATTAACACTAGATTTATGAACCCGACAATTTGACGGATATTGCGTTTTTTAATTATTTATTTAGTATCAGTTGATTTTGATTCGTGCAATTATGCGAATTACAATAGTCTAGTTTTGAAGTTAATTTTCTAGAAACAACAGGATAAAGTTTAGAATAAATCTAGTAAATCTAGTGTTAATATCATTTGCAATTTACATAAACATATTGCATAAATTATGGACAGAGTTGTTTTATTTCTACTTGTTAACCCTCTGTAGGCTCGTGTGACTTTGAAGTCATCAATATACCGGGTTAAATTGATTTAATTTTTTATTGCAAAATGACGAACGACATTAAATAATTAATTTTATACGTTGATATTTATTAATCTCATACTGCATCAATTTTATTATAATCAAACAAAATTCGGCCCATAGAGGATTAATGATTCGACGTTTTATATTGAATTTTTCAGTTTACAATTTTGTTGTGTTCAATGAAATGTCGCTCGAGTGCAAAGGGTTAAATTGTTATTCGCGAAAGACGAAACTTATTTCCTCCTTTGGCACGTGGCGTTTAATTTTTTTTTTCTCTTCTCGCTTTCA